TTTAAATCATAATTATGGTTGAACCATCAGATGAAATCATTTGTCATTTTCTTATATGAATCTCAGATAGTTAGACTATAAATTTAAGCTTGCAGATGATTGATTCATGGAAAAATAAAATAATAAAAAAATAAAATGTGAAAACCGTACGAAGGGTCCCGACCTTCCCCTATATTATGCTTGTTTATGTCTAACGTGCAGATCTAACGTTAGTACTCGTAGGTTGGTATGTGCTTAAATTTTAAGCCAACAAAATTGTATAAACATTATGTAGGTACCTACTAATGTTTCAAAGTTTATATTATTCTTCTATTTAGCAAAATTTAAAACTAACTGCGAGTCGAGTATGTCTAGTAACAGTTTCTACGGCAGCCAATATTATGATACAGACGCCAGCACATCAAGCTACTACAATCTGACAAATTTCTTTAACAGATTTTCAACTTTATCGCTAAAGAATTAAGGTTCAAGGTTGATTGGGAAAATGTGACGTTCTGCGAATAAACTGTTGGTCGGTCGGTGTATTATATACCTACTTATTTGATAATTTACCGACAAAGACGCCGCGGTTTGCAACGAGTGTATCACAGCATTTGACACTGTTTGAGCGCCGCATTCGCCGACAAAGAGTCCGGACAGAGGCACACAAAATTGTTACCTATTTTGGTAGGGTTGGTACAGGAGGATAAAATTAAATGACCTTGAAGATGTCTCAGCAGTAGGTAGGTATAAATTGAATGCTCTGAGTTTCTTGTATTTAAATACATTCTCACACTGGCTCGAATTCGAGCACTTCAGCGTTTAAAGCTGTCGGGCGAGATGATAATTAATAACTAGGTATTGCATCTATTGAATTGCGAATATTTCGATTTCGAAATAATCATTGTTAATATCACTAAATGATAGATAGTGAGTGATATACCTAGGTACTAAAATGTGAGCAGCATAATTGAAAAGTGTTTATGCCATGTCAGTGCTTTCCATAAGTTTATTTAAAAAAAAAGCTATTAAGTAAGATATAGAGTTTACCATTCAATTACACAACAAATTATTGAAAAATATATTTAGACTTAGGAAATTAGTAGAAAAAATATTCTATCGTTGATACCTAGTTATTAAAAAGTTGATAAACGTTGTGTTTCCTTAATTTAATTTTTCTGTGCTAATGCCAACATTGACAACCCTACCAAAATAGGTAAAAATTTAGTCCGCTCCTAGACTTTGTGTCCCCGCCGTCGCTTTCATGTCAAAGGTCGCCGCCACTGCCCATGTCCCAAAGAATAAAATAAGTTTCCGGGTGCTCAGAACGGACACAAATAGATTATGTTGTCCTCGCAAGGAAGATTGTAGTCGTAAGGATAGGTAGATATTATAAAAATTGTTGTAAGTAATAAAAATATAGTTTATATTATTATTATTATTACCTATTATACCTTTTTTTTTAAAGAACATTGCACTGCAAAATTGGAAGTGGGTGATTTTAACAAACTTGAAACGTGGAAAAGCTCCAAATATGAGCGACGTCATATTGCTTTACGCATTTTGTTTTAAAATCACACACTTCCAAAAATCGAGATTTGCAGTGTCGATTTATCAACTTCTATCGTACCTACTCTAGTAGCGACTATTGTCTTCAGCGATGATTAACTAAATAAATAAAAATAATCGTCGTTATTTTTCTAAGGAATACAATTTTGTTGAAGTAGGTACCTACATCGTTTCTCACTTACACATACTTTAACGACTGTACCTACGTAGCAAAGCGCGCCAGTCACGAGTAACGACAAATTGCCTAAAAAATGTACCTACGCACACTGTAATGAAATCTGCTAATCTCAACACACACGCACTTCCTTATTTTGGCCGCATAGGTAGCATAGGATAGCCCGCGAAACTCAATTTTTTTTTTGCAATTTGCAGGCTAGTGCTAGATTGTTGATTAAAATATTATTCGCGCTGTAAGACGTATGTAGTTACAGAGTCAACTACATACGTCTTACAGCGCGAATCATAATCTAAAATCTAAACTAACGTGTTCAATAAATAGCAATAGGCTAATAGGTATTTGCAAGTCTTGCGAGACTCTTGCTGCAAGATCAAGACTGAGAGCGCAATACCAAGATCAGGTGTATTGACGCGAGACCAATACCAAGACTGGCCTTAGTCTCGTCTTGGTCTTGCATTTGGGCAACACTAATCTTAATTAAAACTTTCGCATTTAAGATATGAAATAAAACAGATAATGATACATCAATTTTAATTATTTATTAATTACATAAAAACCTAAATTTTGGATAAAACTCAATACGAAACTCGGACATCAGATTTCATAAATTTATAAAAGAAATATTAATTCTTTAACATAATTCAGTAAAATACAATCCATATTAAATAACACCAAAATGAACTTACAATTAATGTTGGAAATCTTACATTGTTGCGCGCTTTTATATTTACAAAAATAGGTCGTTGCTAAGTTGGTCAGCGTGTCTTATACTAAATTAGAAACAAACGCGAAACGCATACAACAATACAAAGAATTGATAGAAAAAAACAAAGACAGGATGGTGGGTAGCGTGGAGTGCAAGAGCCTACGGTTACAACGTCTTTCGCTTATTGCTTTAGACATTTTAACCGTTCGCTATACTAAATACTATAATTACACTATACCTATACCTCAGTCTTCGTTTAAATATTCAGCCATTGAACGAGTAACGCAAACTGGCCACGTCGTAGACTTCCAGTCAAATACACAAACGCGTTACGTCTCACATATCGCTGATTATATTTATATACATAGAATAGTAGAAAGTATCTTATAGCATGTGCATACGATGTTAACGACATATACTCGTATTCTTAAATGTTTTACGGGAGGCTATACACCAAATATTTTGGGCCTTTTAATTAGGCTTAATTGGAAATCTGAAATATTTCAGGATTATACATGAAAAAACCTTAGTCTATATAACAAGAGACAAATGGCTGGCCATTGAAAAATCTACAAAATTAACATCACAAAACTGATACATTATTAGGATAATATTAAGAACTACAGTTATATTCTATTACTATGTTTCGTCATTCAATATTTAAAATGTTACATTTGAATCAAAATTATGCAATTGAAATTATTCCCTAACTACAATAAATATAATTATTATGTTGAGAGATCCCTTCGAGAATTGTGAAGAATAATTACCTAAGAATAATGTGATTTTTTTAATTTCAAAGTTATTATGCACTGGTTGCAGAAGTTATAATAAATAAAACACCACGATAATTAATTGTATACAAAATTAACAATAATTAATGGGAACATAGAATTGCAATTAACAAATCAAATTAAAAATAATAATAACAAATTCGACTAAACTAGGGAATAAAACTAAGTTCTGGCTACGCCAAGGAGTGTTTTACATCGATAAACAATACAATTAAAAATAAAGTTGTGGCGAAAACGTCGTTGAAATATATTATCATAATCGAAACGAAATAGTTTTCTAAAACTGTATACTAAAATTATTTTGTGATGATGATTAGCCCATTTATATTATATCAGACAATTGTGGAGTGGTCATGTGATAATTTGAGTTACAACTACCACTTAGGCATAACCACTCAATAACATCTCTCATACTTAGTTAGATAATCTTGTCCAAATAAAAGAAAAATCGAGAAACACGTACAAATGGGCAAAATACGATAAACTCTAAAATAGGAAATTTTAAAAACAAACAATGGCACACACTCCGAAGTCCGCCCACTATCTACATTATTACTAACATGTAGGGGTTTCTACTGTTAATGGAAACTTAATCCTATAACAAGAAATTCTTCACAATGTCAGGAAACTAATGTCAATGTTAAATAATTATGTTATAACAGAATCGAGGCTAAATTAGAAACCCTACTACAATCCGATTTCACCTTACTCTTTGGGATAATGAAGCATACCGTTAAGTGCAATAATTTGGCAATGCATAATGGCAGCCATCATCATTCAAGATCAAATCTAACAACTACAGTTTACATAAATGGTATAATATTGGTATTAAATGAATAAAGGTAGTCAAATATCGTACAATTACAGCAAACAACTGGTTGCTTATACCAGACTGTATGGCTAAGCGGGCACTGCATGAAAATGGTACACAATTCAATTTGACTTGAATCGAGATTATTTGCCTCCTATACAGTAACAGAGTCATAATGATCAAAAAGTATGAAAATGTTTTTGAACTTGTTATTTTGCTCGTGAACATTGCACCAAATCGCCTACGAAATCGAATCGATATCCTCTGTTTAGAAGATATAATAATAAAATGTATGAAACGTTAAATTAAAATGTCATCTCTATAACCTAAATTAAAAGGGCCTGGTGCAAAAAAATAATATTTGTTCATACAGAACATCGTCAGTTAACATTTAAAAATATTAAATACAAATAATAATATTATGAATTAAATTTCTAACCATTTACACAGAAAGAAAATTAAATTATAATCAATGTCAAAATATAAGCAGATTGAAATTTCTAATAATTGATTAAACAAACACATAAAAAAACTAATATATGAAATATAAATATAATAATATTATGAAATAAAATTCTAACCACCTACACAGAAGAGAAATTAAATTGAAATCAATGTCAAAGTATAAGATTGCCATGTCTAGAGTTTAATTAATTGAACAAACACATTTAAACAGTTTACATACATAAAAATAAATAAAATTAAATCAAAATAATTAATAATCGAAAATTACATATTTTATCATTACGTTTTAGGGGTGGTTGGAGGCAACATGTGAAAACCATCCCGCGTACGGTAATATTATCATAAATTGAGTATTCTTATGACACACGAATGTTTGGTCAATTGTCAACTGTCAACACATAATACAGAATTGATGCCTCTCTTTACCACGCCAGTTTAACAGTGCCAGGGCGCATAGAGATTGGCATGTCGGCGCATAAGGCGCCGATTTAGTCTATGCTATTCATCACACTTCCTACAAGCCCCAGGAACGTCAAAGTCGAGGACCAATAGTTTGGTTTCTTCGGTGCCGTTTCGGGACCCGACAGCACAAATGAGTTTAGTCGCTGAAGCCCGAATGCGCCATACAACTCCGCCAGAACCGCCAGAGCCGAGTTCGACTAGGTTCCTTATAAACTCACCGGTACGCACGTCCCATAACTTCACGGTCCCGTCGTCAGACGATGTTATCACGAAACGGTTGCTGGATTGAAGGCAGGTGACAGCCGATTGATGTTTGTTTGGTCCTAAAAATTTTAAGTTTAAAATAAAATCTATTTGTCTTTCCATCTTAACGGAGTTTGGCAATCAGCCTTTTTGTTTTCATTAATTGTATACGCAATATACGAGTACAGACCAAGAGTATTTTTTAAAGGTATCGTTTGAGAAACTAATTGCGAAAGTAAGTTGCCATAATAGAGGAAATAAGGCAGGCAGCACGTCGCTAGTGTAAAGCCACCTGCATAATTAAAATATTCCATAGACATTCCATCATAGGTAAAATTGTAGTCAAAGCGGTGAATGTCAAAGCCCAGAATTCTTGAATACTACTAGAAAAATATTTGACTTATTTTCAGGCAGATTCAGTCACCAAGGGAAGTAAAATTATTGCTGAATTCACAATTTTTTAGGGATGTTGAACACAATGAAAGAAAGCCTTGACATAAGAGACTAAATTTTAAACATTTCCATTGTTATAATTGTGAACTTTAAAGTCGTAATTATAACAATGGAAATGTTTAACATCATAGCGAACGGGTATGACCTGGGTTTGATTCTAGACATTTTTTTGCTTTAAAAATTATGAATAAAACCAAAGCACAAATGCGCTATGAGGTTACGGGACCTTAAGTAATTTTTTTTATATGATTTAAAAATATCACCTTAGCTATAAAAAACAAAACACTTAAGTTTGTGTAGTATCTCGTTTATACATCTACTGGGTGTTTTAAAGTAATTAAGCTTCTTTTAATTTTTTCGATTTACAATTAGTTTTTTGCTTTAATTTAAAACGCGTGTACAGGACATCATGTGTCGGTTCCTCTAGTTGTAATATAAAAAAATATACCTGATAAAGTGTGAAGACAATGTCCAGTGGTGATGTCCCACACTTTAACAGTCGAGTCAGCATTGCCCGAAACGAGAATATTTGAGTGAAGTTCCATGCCTGAAGTTAGGGACTGATGGCCGGTGAGTGTATGCTTCAGCTGTCCAGACTCAACGTCCCATACGCGGATCGACGTGTCCAAAGAACCACTTACTACGTGCACACCGTCAAACTGTAATTTTTAATAGAACATTAAAATTTAAAAATAACTATATAACTTTATTTACATAATGATTATCTATGGTATTAATAAAATCTGCAGCAATGGCTTAGTGGTTTCAACGTGCGACTCTCATCCCGTACGTTCGATCCCCAGCTGTCAACAAATGGACTTACTATCAATGTGCGTATTTAACAGTCACACGTACGGTGAAGCAAAGTCGTGAAGAAAGACGTGAAGTGACGCCGTGAGTCGTGAGACACAGAAGATTCATCACCAGTGCCTATTAGAAATGATCACGGAACAGATACAGAAATCAGAAGCCCAGACCTAAAAGGTGGTAGCGCCATTGATACATTATTAATAAAATAAGTGTAATAAATACCCCAATATTTAATCTTCTTTATATTCAACCATGTAAAAGTCTTTAACATAGCGAAACTTCCATGCCATAAGTACGGAAAGCAAACTTGCCCTAAGAAAAGAAGATGAAAATGAACTAGCAATGTGCACCTACAATGGAGTTGGAAGGGCCAGAGTGAAGAAGAGTTGGAGAGATACATTTGCATAGAGCTGTGAGCCAGGACGGATGCGGTTGCCTAGAGATAGGATGGTTTAGGGTAGGCCTACGCCGCAGAGGCGACAACTGAAGACTTTATTTTAGTGCAGTTTGATCATTTTGTATATAGCAGAAGGAAAAGATATTTTATTTATATTATTATTTATAAAAAAACACAATAGCTTTTAGACTCTAGCGTGAGGTCATACTTAGAAATTTTGAAAAAATGAAAAACATATTTGGAACAAAAGTTAAATTTATGCAATATTGTCTTAAATTAATTTAAATATGGTCAATGTTCTAGAATATATAGTATACCGACTTTCCCATTACTTATAATCTTAGCATTTTCAACTTGTCCTGCTCTAATAAAGCGCCATCTTTTGGCTATAAAAACCAATAAATCAAATACACGTATACGGTGAATTCAATAAGAAATGATAACGATTATGACTCAACAATATACTTTTTATGTCATTTTGTTTTTCAACGACGACTTTTAGATTTAAACACTATGTTTATATATTTCCAAAGATAAAGTAAAAAAATAAATATTCTTCCTGATCCCTTAAGAAACGTGTACCGTTGCGACTAATGCGTCGTCGTCTTTAAAGTTATGGCCCATGAGATGATACTATAACCGCGGAAATAGGTAGAAATCATAAGGAGCTGGGTTATATGAAGATGGAGAATGTTCAACAATTTGAAACCAGCTCGTTGAATTGCCGCCATCGTACCTTACACCTTGTTAGCAGGGGCGTTATCATGGTGAAACAAAAAATTTGCGAGTATTAGTGGCTCCATGAATAAGCTATTCGACCATTACTACTCCTTAGCAATCGCTGAAAAAAAAACCTACCAACCCGTGGATTTAATCGCCATAATTTCTTCGGACATCGAGATGACGCTTCTTCCAAGTCATGTACTATATATTCGTTTCCAGTTCATAATGGTGACGCCATGTTTCGTCCATAGTTAAGAATCGAGCCAAAAATCGGTCGAGATCTTATTGTAACAAACCCAAACAGCTTTATGAAATTCTCAGATAATCAGAATATGCGCAGAACTGAGAATTCTGAGCATTCTGAGCACCTAGCGCGATGACACTTTTTCATACTCAAATGGCTGCATGTGTGTGTTATTGACACTTCCTATGGAAATCTTTATTTCTCCTGCTATAAATAAGTGCCACGACGATCCGCGTGGATGTCTTTTTAAATCTTTTATTGAGTCTCTAGCGATGAAAGGCGTCATGTGCGTCGTCGTTAGAAGTTCTTTCTGGCAACCCCTAATATTGTTCAAGCATTTTACTATCGCGTGAACTTAAAGTTAACCCATTTTTAAGAACACATTCTGACAAACAAATTACTTCTATTTAAAATATGCCTAATCTGTATATGTCTTCTAGTATTTTATTATATTCTTACTTAGGAGAATGTATCTCATTATCCCTACTAATTAAACACCCCTTATGGAAATAAATATTTACATATACGTACGTACCTGCAAGCTATAAACCCTGTTGGTATGTCCCGCCAATGTGTGCAAGCATTCCCCTGTCTCCGGATTCCATACTTTCACGAAGTAGTCATATGCGCCCGACACGACCACTTTACCGTCATATTGGACACAACGCACCGCCGCTAAGTGGCCAACGAGTACGCGAAGACAACAGCCTTTGCTAATCGACCATACGCGTAGAGTTGCATCACGCGAACCTGACACCACTCTGTGGACAAGCGAAAAACTAAGAAATAATATTTAGAGTCGAATCGAGAAAACGGCTCACGAAATCAAAAAGGTTTCATTGCATTCGCGTTTTAGGGAATATGTGAATTGTCCATTACCCCGCCCAGCATATATATCATTTATGACAAACATAATTTAATCTAAATTAATTTATGACAAGCAAAATTTAATCTATGAAAAACCACTTTAAACAATTATGTAGAAATAATCATTTAACGTAAATTACATTATTCAGTTATATGATATAAACACACATTTGAGATACTATATAGGAATTAATTTACACGTGCAATATTTTACGTTTCAAGCAAACATCGAAATTTGCCTGCATTGCGTTTACAAAATCATTTCTCTTATACCTATCATAAATGTTCTACAATCCTCCTTGATATTAAACATAAAGATAAGATAGATGCACCCTAGTACATACGATATTCAATAAAAATTATAAGTGCAAAACATTGTATTTTTGCATTAAATAAGGAAAACCCATTTTTTCCGAAGTCGCAGGCAGCAGCTGGTATTAACCTCCGTAGTTTATTAACGTATTAAAATTCGTAAGTCCTGGGTGCTATTCTCGGCGAAAATCGGATTCAATAAACATTGGTCAACGAAACAGACATAATAAAACCTCAAATGGGACTTAATAAAAGAAAAAGTAATTACATGGGCAGTATAAATTTACCAGCCATTTAAATTAATTAGCAAAACCAATTAAAGCGCTTAATGCTATTTATTGCTTGGCTACTACGACTACTAGACATTTATCATAACAGAATCTAACAGTGGATCCCTGGCCTATAAACATCAACAATGAAACAGTCACAACGTACTTGCTCGAACCCTGCTGTTGACGGGGAAGCAGTTATTTAATAGGTATAGCAAAAGAGCTTGCTTAAAACGAAGAAGTCTTCAATGATAAATTATGGTTTTCGCATGTAGCACTAATGTAACGCCAGCGCAATACAATTTGAAAAAATAGAAAATTTACCAGACTTTACTAATTAACAATGACTTACAATTTAAGAAAAAGAACACATAAGTAGTAAGTTAATAAATTATAACTGCAATTTTATATATTTCATAATCACCAAAAGTTCTTAATACACTTGCAAGTTCTCACTCTATATATTAAGATATAAATTAGTTAAACATATGAATTCATAAAAAAATCTTAATCGCATTGCTTTCTTACCTATTTTGATGCAAGTGCATGCACCGGACAGTCGAAGTATGTCCAGCTAACACTTTGAGGCAACGGCCTGTCTTCGCATTCCAAACACGCAGAGTGCGATCAGTGGAACCGCTTATCACAAGATCACCGATCATCTGCGATGACCACACACCACCGGAATGGCCGACCAATGTGCGCAGACACTGAAATATTATTTAATATATTTTTTATTTGGGCCACAAAATATTATATCGTATACTAGAACAAACACGATACAACAAAAACATAGACTCATATAAATATAATAAAATGGTGCTGTCTCTATCATATGTGGACACGATAAGCGAAATCAAATAAAAAAAAACAACAAAAAATTTCTGTTTATTTTTTTCTATGCATTAAATCAAGTTATTGAAAATAAAACAAAAAGTGAATAGGATTTTATTCTTCTCATAGTTGGTATAGCTATTAATTTATACTAGTAACTGAACCATTTAAATTATTTGACTTTAAGACATTTAACAAATAAATTAACGTGGAAACGTTACAAAACGGAAACGTTACGGACAAGTGTATGTATTAAACATACACTTGTCACACTGCTTGTTACTGTGGTTTAAATGTGAAGTAGTTATAATATTTAACATAAATATTTAAAAAACATAAATACAACATTTCCACAAGTATGATGTTTCTATGCGAGACGAAGGGGGTAAACCAAAAAAAAATCTCATTCATTCTCGGGAATCAGCTACTTTTAAAAGACAATGAAGGGTTCACTTATATAAAAAAGTATGTATTAAAAATATTAAATAATCTGTTTAATGAGAAAATATTTTTTTTTCCTTGAGGCAAAATATCCTTTTGAAAGTAGCAAATACAATTTAATCAGTCATAAAAGCTAATAGAAAAATACCATCAAATAATACAAACAAGACATACCTTCCCTGTAATAGCGGACCATACTTTGAGTGTTGTATCATCGCTGCCACTGAGTATGCGATTTCCATAGAACTGTAGGCAAGTTATCACGTGATCATCATGTCCACGCATCACTATGGGGTTATCTACGTTATTGTACAGCCAATTGTCTTGAATAAGCGACTGACGCATGTAGGCAGCTTTCCATGGACTGGCGCAACGGGGCATAGAGCGAAGACGCTTTTTTAATGTTGTCAGGCCTATGCGACGGCATTGTTCCTTCCACAGTAGATTGTCGTCAGCTAGGAATCTGTAATACATTTAGATTAAATATTCATTTTTAAATTAAGAATTTACGTTAAAATTAGAACGCTTTTCAGGACAAATGGCATTCATGTTGATTCGATAAAATGCCACTAAATACAAGTAATAATAAAATATTTTTTTATTAATATTCATACCAAAGTAGCGACTTATTCACTTGAGTCCTTTTTGCAACATGATGCTAAGCGCAAGACTCAAAGACAGCTGGACCAATTCGAGAATTTTTTTTTATTCTTCCTTGAACTCTCAGGAAGGTTTTTATGGAGAGTAAAATTGGAAAAATAAAAAAGAAATATATAGTTTTATTTAGTACTAAAGTTTTTATTGCAGAAAAGCGAACAGTTTCTATGGTGGTCGTAGCATAGCAAAATGTTCTGTATGTAGCTACTAAAAAGGTAGGCTTAGTAAAAATTCAATAATTATTTGAGGCTTATTATACTATGTTGATCAAAAAGAACCATGTCTTTGTTATAACGACGAAAATTAAAAACAACATTATTACCTCCAATAGCGACAGGTTTGAGCAGCCCGTAAGAGATCCTTGGGCGACAGGTATCCGAGCACTGTAAGTGCCAACTCTTTGGGTAGAAGCGATATGAAATCCCGTTGGAAAAGAGGTTCTATAGCCTTCATCATGTGGCGCACATGGCCTGCCGTGCAGCGGCCTATGAGAGCGTCGATAGCTTGAATCTTCTCAACGTTAGTCCAAGACTGGAATCTAAATGAAATTATTGCTTAGTTACATCACAAAAACGTATTTGTAATAACAGAGTCATTTGTTTGCAAATTACATATGTGCCGTCACATGAAATCATATATCTTTCACCGTCATCTGAAACAAGAATCCGCTCGCTACATAATTTGATACATTACCTGTAATAGTACATTATTATTTCAAATTGCAAGTCAACAATTTAATTGGAAACTTTACCTTTGTTAGCGAACATTCGAGACGATTTAATAAAAGACATGGTCCCCTTTATGTCCAACACAATGTGCTCGAAGAAACTATTGTAAATGATTGAATGGAGATGCAATAAATTACAATCATATCAATGGGAAGGTCATAAATGTGAAAAAAATGCAAGCTGTCTATGCTTTTATTGAAATGAAATCTAAATCTTTAATAAAAATCTTCATACATACTTCCTACGTTGCTGATGTAACAGTACGACCAAGTTATCACACATACTTATAATTACTATAAAATTAACTGCGCGTCAATTTACAAATATATACTGAGAATTAAGATATGTAAAACAGGTACAATCTTTGGTAAACAAAGTGAATAATCCAAAAATAAACAAAGTATGAAACGACTAAACACGATCTTAAATATGCAAACAGTTAACAATTTGCGCACCTGGCATTCATTGTTGTAAAACTTGACAAGCGGCCCTCTAGGATTATGGCTCGTAACTAACAGCTATTTAATAAACTCGTGTTATACTGGCTGCTGAACGTGACTTCGTCTACGTAGAAATATCAAAAATTGCCGATTTAGGTTTCTCGTTACAAAATTCCTTATAATACAAAGCTGACCATCGGGAGAAATATGATATATACACGGATAAAACTTCGAAGACATGTTTGAACGTAATTTTAATATTACTTATGTATAACAATTCAGCACATTAATTCAATATGTGTAATATAAGGAATGTTTGTCTTAACGATTTTAGTGGCAGTTATTCAATACTATATGGTATATTTATCATTCTAGAAGAAATGAAGAATTATATTTCAATAAAGTTGGGACGATATACTCCGTTATAAGACATTAAGCGCGTGTTTTATCTGCGTGTAATAATACGTCACTTATAAAAAATAAAACAACGCCTCGAAAATTCCAAGATTATAAGTCGTGTTATATACATTATTTCTCTAATGAATAATACAACATGCCAAATACATCAACAAACCCAGGGTTGCACCATAAATTTGCTTTGCCTTAAAATCCTTCAGGTATTCGACTACCAAGAAAATAATAAATATTTGAATTTCTACACCACTCTAACCTATTTTTAGCACAAATTTTTTATATTATATATAAAATTATATAGCTTGTGATCGATAAATATTTATTATAACTTCTTGATATCAGAGAAAATGAAAGACCAAATAGAAAAATGTATAAACTAGTTTATACCAGACCCATGTGGACTGTACCTCATCCGTCCGACAAAAATAATTCAATTTTTTATGAGAAATAAACGATTTTTATAAATTATATTATTATATAACAGTGTTGGCCTGGCTTGAGCGTGCAACTCTCATCCCTGGGGTTCGAAGTAGTAGGTTCGAACCCCGGCTGTGCACCACTTTTTATGTGCGCATTTAACTGGCTTGCAAGGTCATACATAGAAAATGTCGTGATTTCTCGACATTTTCTAGGCCGTAGACCCAAAAACTCGAAGGCGTCTGACTGACGCTCGGGATCACCTACTAGCCTATTAGCAAAAACAAGTCATCACGAATAGTTACATAACTCTGAGACCCATACCCATAAGTTTGTAACGCCACTTTTGTATACACATAAATCTTAATATAATGTGAAAGTCACCGTGGCCTGTGATCTATAACAAACCCTTTTTTGTCTGTATATACATATTATACCCGAAAATGTGAGATGTGTATACCATATTAAAAAATAAAATAATTATATCTACCTGTTTAGCCACTGGTTCAATTCGGGCGAAGCTTGATTTATATTATGCTGCAATGACTGAAGTCCAAGGCTAGTATTACTCCATTCGCCGGTGTATTGCACCATTGTACCATCAGGACGGAATCTTTTTGCAGACTGGGGCGGCGGTGGCTCGTAACGTCTTTTTCTCTGAATGAAACATATGAATTATTTATTCACACTGAATACAAATCGTAAGAAAGGGTAAAATTTGCAAGTATATAAGCAACAAAATTTAAAACTTATAACGTCGTAATTGCGAATAAGAACGTCAACTTTACGAAAGTTGCTTACTTAAAGGAAAATTCTTTACTTCGTTGATTAAACTTTGTAAGAATATTACAAATGGGCTTTAAAAAATAATAGTTTAATGGTGGTTACATAAAATCTATTTGTTTTAATTATTCATCTATATCACAATTTGTAGAAGTAGAAAGTTCTGAATATAATAATGTCTTTACCGCGTTTAAATCCATTAAAGATCTTTGAAAAATAATGTCAACAAAAACGAATTACCCAAAATCTTTCTTCAGGTTCTGGTTCGTCATCATCTTCTCCGTCCTAAAAACAAAGTTTACAATTTTTAATCAAGACTTTTATAAAACTAGCATGGCCTGAGTATTTTTATGTCATTATATCATTAAATATACGTGATGATATTGTAGTGGAATTCAGAACATGAGAACATTTACAGAAATGAACAGTATGGGCTCGTTTAAAAAACGGTTTACTGACTTGGATGTTAAAAACTTACCTCAGGTGATGAAAGACAGGTACACCAAGTCTCTTCCACATCATCCTCATCCGAATCATCATCAGGATCGCAATATGCGTAACTCTGCAAATATGATTCATATTAAAATCAAATTTTAAAATCACTGTAAATAAAATATATATGAATTTATATATTTAACGAGAAATTACTTACCGAGACCTGGGAACTTCTTTCTCCATTTTTTGTAGCATCACAAAGCCCCAAAAGCTTTTCAGCATTTGAAGTAGAAGGTACTGTGAAATCCTTACTATCTGAGCTAGTACTTGCAATACTTGAAGCATTAGAATTAGATCTACCTGATGGCCCACTGACCGCATCAATTTCCATGTTACTATCATTTGCATTTTCTTCCAAGTCAGCCTTATAAAGTTTACCCTTTGGAAAATCTTTCTTTTCTGGCTTTCCACTATTAATTAGTTTTTGCATAAAATCTTCTTTTGACATAGATGTTCCCTGTACAAACAATCCTGCTTTATCTTGTATCATTTCTTTTAATTTGCTGCCTATAACTTTGTTTGCTTCTCGGCCACAGCCAGGGAGGCCAAAATCATCAGACATGAAATGTTGTAACCTAGCAATTGTTTCGGCACTGGCTATTTTTAATAAATCAGGGTCGACACTACTTACAGGCCGAGAATATTGTGCCGTTGAAGCCTCGTCTTCATCTACTACCATATTAGAGCAATGTTTAAGAATTCTGTTTTCTTCCTCGAAGTCATCTCTTTCAAGGTCTTCAATTTGTTGGTCTTCATTGTTTTCAGTAGGTATTTCTGCAGGCTTTACATCATTGGCATCAGTCTTATCTTCCACATTGTTTTCAAATGAATTTTTGCTTCCTTTAAATATATCACATTCAGAGTATGAGCAGGATGGCTCCATTGTGATGATTTCTGGAAGAATCCATATTTTTAATGAGGATTAACACAAATACTTAACTAAGAAACAGTAATGATCTCACTCTACATTCAATTAAAAGTTTATAGAAAAAAAAAATCAAAAGTACAAAATGATTGTAGCGAGTGTGTAGAAGCCTTACAATCCACAAATTTGGAATTCAAATTCAGTTGAAAATGATCTCATGCACTTAAAGCGCATTACCATACATCAGTATTTATAAGCGTAAAAAATTTATTTTTTAAATATTCTTATGAATATAATAGAATAAACTTTACAATTTGTTTAACTCAAAAAGAAGCAAGAATGGGTAACTGATTTATGCAAAGCTGAATTATGAAATATATATTGTAACGCTATTCCTATTTAATAGAAAGCACATCCCAAACAGGTTTCTAATGATTGATAGGTATTTTAAGTATTATTATTTCACATGGAATCTGCTTTTAAAAAAGATAACATCCACAGATCCACTTTGTTTATACAAAGTCTGAGAAATTATGATTATATAATCTGCTTTTTATTATACAATATTTTCAATTGAAAGGTAATTTACACACTTGAAACACCTCAGAGAGATAATTCCTACATTTATTCCATTGCACTTTTCCCTTCCTACTAAATGCACTTGGCCGGTTAGTAGATATTAACACTGTTAGTATTATTATTTAATTTAACCAAATTTTAATAATAATACAATATTATAATATCTAAAAAGCTATGACAAAATTATGATGTGTTTGTAACAAACATAACCTAGAAATTGTTTAAACAACAAAACCAGACATCGGCCTATTTTATATTATATATAGTGTGATAGGCAGTAGACAACAGTATTGACCACCGCAGTCAATAATTAAATAAGTATATTTCTTGTGAGCCTACGAGATACTCTAGCATGCATACTGCAACAAGATTATAGTTAATTTGACCACTTGTTAAACCCTTTAAGATGTTCTGACTCAATATATTGGTGTGATTAGTTTCTTTTTAGACTAAACACAAGTGTATGTCAGCTTTGTGTCTGATAAACATTCTGTTCAAATACATAAATTGCCCTTAACACTAAAACCCAAGTTATTAAAATCAGTATTAAAATTATTAATATTTCAATTAGATGTTTTGATGCCAAAATCATTTACTAATTTCCTCAGCATTTGAGAGCCCCACAAGGCCATTACTCAGTGCATATTCTGCCACTGTCATAATCAAGGCCAATTCAATCATATTGTGATCTATTGAATATACCTTGAAATAACATTATATACCAATTGAAACCTTAAATCACTTAACATAAATAATATCGCTCAATACTAAGTTCATATCTGATACGTAATTGCGTATTTCAATTGTCGAAATCATATTAACGAGAAGTATCGCCATGTGTTGTCGTTCAAGAAAAAAATAACTGCGAGATAAAAGGACTCGAACCGTGAGAATATTTTTTACACTGAATACAGGATTCAGATGCATCCGTGCTTACAAAAAAAACATCTACCTAGGAGAAGTATGGACAATTAATAACGAATCCGTGACGATCCATTGTATTGAAAATCGCTTGCACGTATTAGGATTTAGAAGGATTACGTGAAGAACAGAAAAATAGTATTTACCAATAAAGCAGGAATCGATATTTTAGAATCATTTGGCCTGAAAGCACCCTGTAAGACTAAATGAAAAGAAACTAAAACCACGTCCGCTACAAACATTTACTTAACACTCACCTGTTTTTAGATACCACGGAAGATCTTCATTTGAAGATACTTTGTATTTCCTAAACACACATTTTATTAGCACTTTTACATTGATGCAGGTTGCAGCATCAAAGTGAATTAGGTTTGAAATTATTCATTTAACTTAGAAATGTGGTGCTTGCATTTCGACAGTCGACATTCGACAATAGTGAATAGTCTTTTTTTTTAATTTTATGGCAAGTGAATAGTCGTATGTCTATACTGTAGAGAATAGAGATGGGTAAGTGGCCAATATTAACTGGTAACACTGCGCTGCGCCTCGCTAACTTCCTTTTTTAAATCGGTATGACATAGACATCATATTATGGCTCTTTGATTTTTAACTTTCTTATGCTTTATCATGTTTAGTCAATCAAGATACCATTTATAAAAAAACAGACAAAGAAATAATAAATACAAATTGTGTAACTGAAAATTAATTCACATGAATATTCATTTGTCAGTTGTCAACACTACTGTCAACTATCAATTTTAGATATATAGTATTTTGTTTTTCTATGCGCATTGCGCCCCCTCATTAAGCAAAGCTTGAGAATATAATAATGTATAAATTTAATTCGCAGAGTTACTCTACAATCCACAGATTTTATTAAAATAAATGGTAATACACAATATATATTAAAGATGTTTAAAATCTAAATGATTATATATTCCATAGCTTATGTCATTAAGAACTTTTATACTATATAGAGAAAAATAAACCATATAATTTAGATCCGTGGCGGACTACATATGTAAATTTCGTAAATTTTCGAATTTGAATCGAAAAGTTCTATAGTTTCATAGAGTGGTAGAGTACAGTTTTTAACTGCCTTCTATAACATATCATATAGACTTAAACGCAAAGCTAATTGCAGCTGATGTCGCTTTCATCGCTTGACCCATAACAATACGCTGTCAGTATTCAGCATTTCTTTCGTAAACCTTAGATACGATTTAGTAAATCTTAAAAGGTGTTCACAAGTGAAAACTGCTGAAAAATGTATTGGACTTGGACTGTTCCTCAATTAAAAGCAGAATTGAAGACTCGGGGCGGTTCTTTAAAAGGCAGAAAGGCAAATCTTGTCACGAGGTAATCATAGTGGATATTTTTCAAAAACACATATTTAAATCATTTTATAATCCCTTTCAAAACTATTTGTTGTTTATTCAGCCTTGTTTAATTGATATTATTATATTTTGATAGTATTTCGATGAATTCCAGTAATAATTCCATTTAATCGAAACATGACTTGCATGCTTTTTATGTAGTATTACTGCTTATAACAATTCATTTTTATTACAGGCTCGAATGTTTCGACCGAAATTTCAATTTTGGTAAACAGCAAGTTCATGAAACGGATGATGTTAAAATGGATTAACCATCCATTGATGTATATCGGGACATCAATGCAAGCACAAGCCTTCCTCCCGTGACGAAACAACATATTCAATTATATTACAATGAGTAAGTATTTTTTTCACAATGAGTAAGCAAGTAATTTAGAGGAATTCATACATTGTTTGGTAGGTACTAGATCAGCCCTGTAGTCCAAACCACAGCACAAAGCTGAGCTGGCCGCCTAATCGGCAACTTTAACATAAATTTGAAAAATTGCCATGTTTTCCGAATAAACATTTTCTTTCTGTCTTACTAAGTCTGAAAGTATTAAGAAAATATAAATTACAAACCCTGCTTTTTTTACAGATTCCATAAAAGCAAGTTGACAGGTTGCAATTGTATGAAGCAAGATTTTTAGTAGTTGTTAGAGCAGCTACAGTAGGTGAATATACCTTTGTTAAAGGCATAACTCGTGCTTCAATTTCATTGAATATGAAGGCTTCAATATGAAGTGAACATTAAGATACATGCTAGAGGATCAATAGAGGAATCTCAATGTGAATGTGTGGCAGGTAGTGGTACAAATGCCCATTGCAAGCATGTGGCTACTGTGCTCTATGCCATAGAGCATATGGTGCGTGAAAAAATTATAATTAAACATCAAGTGCCAACAGAAAAATTGCAAAAGTTTCATGTGCCACAGAAAGTTTTCACTGCATCTCCTATGATAACTTCAAAACTTCCCATGAAAAGAAATGTGGAAAATACAATATTTTCCCCATGCTCTATGCTAGTGGACAAAGAAGAATATAAGAAAAGATTTAGAAGTTTGATCCTAAATTACCCATCAAAAATGCCAATTAAACACTTGTATGAGCTAGCAAATCCCTATGCGGTGGAATGGGATCATACTTATTGTAAGGAAAATGCTGAAAGCAACCTTTTAAATATGTTTAATTTAATATGCATCACCCCTGAAAAGGTTGCCCAAATAGAGCATGAGACATGCACACAATTTTTAAATAAAAATTGGTATGACTACCGGATGGTACGCTTAACAGCTTCAAAATTCCATACAATTTGTAGTCTAAGAGCAAAAAGTCAAGAAAATTATGCGAAACAGCTGCTCATTCAAAGGTCATTTTCTTCAAGACCCACTAATCATGGTATAATAAATGAGCCTGTTGCACTCCAGCAGTATATGGAGCAGACCGGACTGCAAGTAAAATAGTGTGGGCTATTTATTTCCCAAGATCGTCCTTATTTAGGAGCAACGCCTGATGGTGTTTTGGGAGATGAGACCGTAATAGAAGTTAAGTGCCCGTATGCCTCCAGGAATAAGGAAATTAATAATAGAGTTCCGTTTTTAATAAAAGGTGACATTGATGGCCAGCTTAAATTAAAAAAAGGAACTCCTTATTTCTATCAAATTCAAGGGCAAATGTATTGCTCAGGGAGGAAATTCTGTAATGTTATAGTCTATACTTATAAAGATCTGAAAGTGATTTACGAGGAAAGGGATGAAGAATTTATCAATCATATGATAACAGTATTGGACAAATTTTATGTGGAATATTTTAAAAAGGCCCTACTTAATTAATATATTTATAAGAATTACTTAGAAACAATAAAACCCACTGATTACTTTGGATTTTTATTTCACAATTCCTTTTTTTAAAATTACATAGCATAAGACAAATGAAAAATATTCTTGATAATAATGGCACATAAAAAGAATTCACATCACCTTTTAATATTTTAAATGTTTTTGTTAGCCCAATAAGACATTCAATATGTAATTGTGATAGACCCTTCAAAAATGTTGGTGTATAAATGGCAACATCTTTTTGTTCAAATAGATCTTGCACATTGAATCCACGGTCAGCCATAATTGCTTTTTTTTCATCAATAACAGCTAAAAGGGAACTTCTCTCCGTTATTTGGCGGTCACTGGTAGATCCTGCATATCCATCTGAACAAAACGATATCAGGCCACCAGGTGTAGCACCCACCAAGAATTTTATGGTGTTGTGGTGTTTGTAGCTACTAAAACTTGCTTGTTGCACTGTAGGGTTTTTTGGTTTTGTTATAGGTATTTCTGTCCCATCTATTATCACTCTGGTAGCTGGATGATGTTGCTTAAATGAATCTGGCATATATATATCAACCAGTGAGCGACTAGCCCAAATATCTATATTTTTCCACAATTCATATACAAAATTTACCCATATAACAAATATGTTCCCTACAGCAGTAGCACTTATACTAAAAAATTTTGCCATCTCAAAATCAGGTTTATTTCTTCTTAGTTTAACCAACATCAAAAGAAATTGATCAATTACACTGATGTTAATAACTTGGCTGCCCCTATAATTTAAATGATATGCCATTGGTAATAATGTAGAGAACACCAAATTAAATTTAGAAATGTCCCCTAAGCCTGCATAAAACAAAACTGATCTGGCATCTGATAACATATAATCCGAGGAAAAGAATCTAAACAAATGTTCAGTTTGAGTTGATACTCTATTTGGAGTGGATCGAGGTGGGGCTACCCTGATTTCCTTGGCTGGACTGGTCATCAGTTCAACTTCAACTTGAAAGTCAGGAACCTGAGACAAAACTTCAATGGTATCTTCAGGTATAGAAGGAATATTAATGTCAATCTCTGTTGCAGATGTTGATGGGAAAACCAGTTTTTTTCTACAATCGCGTTTCAAATATCTTTGGTCCCTTGCGATACTTGCTGTGGTAGTGGGTTTCTTCCAAGCGAAAAGATTTCAGATTCAATAAAATGTTCCGAACATAACCTCGAAGAGTTTGTAGCTTTGAAATAACGTTTTTTCAGAGCTTTTTCCCAGTGTCTTCTTATGCGTAAATCATTAGGGAAACTGTGATTTCCATTATTATTACAACCGAATGCTGCACAGCGAGGCATTTTTGGAGAAAAATAATGTTTTATCTTGTGTTATAATAATAAAGTATGGGATTTGACGTTTGTTTGCATTTGTTATGGGTCAAGCGTTACCAGCGCTACTAGTGGCAAAGTTTGGCAGTTTTCTCCTCCATTCAAAAAACATTTGCCTAGCCTAATTTGCAGACAAATGACGTAAAATAGTTCTATAATAATATCAAGCAATAATACAGATAAATAATAATCAATAATTACGTTCGTACATTTATTAACCCGATCGATAATATTCTCTTACAGTTTTATGAAATCGAACTTATATATGAATCAGGTATATTGATTAAAATAAATAAAGCCATGGGCAATAACCACAAGGTAGAAAAAGCAGTTAATTTGTCTGCCAGCAAGCATTACTGCTGACAAATAACAGAATTGCGGCTCCAGTGACAATATATTGTTTACTTGGTTATTATAATAAACGTTAACATCAAGGGATGATTTTGGCTGATGAATATATTTTTTTCTTTAAATTTGGAGTTCTAACTTATAGCACGGCCAGTAAAATTGTTGTTTTACTGTTTTGTAACTGGTTTTTCGTGGGTTTAAAATTTTTACTAGTATTGTTTTTTTGTAAAAGAGTGCCTCTGTAGTTTCTCGGGATCCCTTGGGTCATATATTAGCCTAGTCTTTGGTGTGGGCTCCCACAACATGAGGTTATACCATTCTAGTAGTGAGCAGACAGATGACTCGTGGGCTTGACACACTACAATATTGCGCAAAGAAGCATAGCGTAATAGAATACGATTCTTTCTTTCTAGATGATCTAGATGGCATGATGTTCTAAAATAATATCCCAATTCTGAACATTTTATTCGCTTCACAAACCACCACATATAACGTTACAATACTATTTTTAATCACCATTGGGAAAGTAAATCAAAATCGGTTAGCCTTTGTAGGACAAAGCCACGTTTCTTGCTTTTTTTCTTATCCTTATCCTTGTCTGAGTCTTTTTGCAAGCTTTGTACTTTTTCTTTTTTTGTTGGTTTCGTTTCCGCTTCTTGAATTTTTTTTGCCTCACAATCTAAATCAAAAGGGCAGTCATCTGCAGAATATATAGGCATCATAATTACTGGAATATAATTAGGGTTGTCGTTGCCTTTCTGAAAAAAGTAAATTATATTTTTTTAAATCTTGAATTATATAACCTATATGTGAAATACTCGTGAACTTGTTGAAAAACATAAGCTTTCTACCGCTTAGACCTAGGTATGGCATGTAGTATAGGTAATACTACAACATAGAATAACTGCTTCGATATTACAAACAGAAAATTCCTGTACCTATAATTAGACTTAGACAATCTTTTTTATTTACATTTTCTCTGTACTAGTATTTAAAGGATTTTAGATACTGTTATAAAAAAGGATTTTTACCAATCCCTCAGAAGCACATTGGCAGCAGTAACTTTGAGCAGCCGATAAAGCTTTCGACTTTACCAAATGCTGAACAATAGCTTTCAATCGCTCTTCGTCCAAATTGCCAGGCTTTGTGTTCTCCCATTTACCATTTGGATTCATTTGTACAAGGACAGGTGCTGATACCTCTAAGGCATCAAAACCAGGCCGCTGCAGAGGTCTATAAAAATAAAATATGATAGCGTACCATACTGAAAGACTACGTGTCCACCATAGCAATACCTTTCCTGCAGAGTTTTTGGCGAATATTGTATACTTCAATTTTTATACCTGTATAGGACTGAGAACGTATGACCGACCTTGAATTCTTCCTCAGGACAAACAAACTTCGAAACAATAACATTTAGTTCTAAAATATGCAGGTCCAGCATCAGGTAAACAGACCCAGCTGTGTTTCGCAAAGTTTATCAATACCTGTTAGAAAATAAAACTTACATATCTGCGACTTTTGATAATATGTCCTTATGTTCAACCATTGTTAATTCTAATTTTAATCTAGATCCTAATTTTTATGAACTATTTTTGTTTATCCTTAAAAGAAGGGATTTTTCTTGTAAATTTTTCAGCGTCCAATTTTTTTTCAGATGTTGGTGTTTGACTTTTTAACACATTTATTTTTATTTTATAGGTTGCCAGAAATATGTAAAAAAATCCAAATTAAAATAATTTTTCGTTTTAATAAGTACGAGGTCATAATTAAGGATTCCTCAAGACAATCATTTTTTATTTTCTTACAATGAGTTAGCTTTTGCAATAAAGTTCCATCGAGAATAATTAATATTCCTACCGAAAGATATTTCTAGGTATATAAAGAACGGAAGGTGGTGCTGTTCCTCCAACCTAAAAAAAGGCATCTCGACCAGTCTTACTACTTACCTATGCTGTCTGAACGGCCCAAAAAACCTAATAATAAATAAATACGTCAATGTTACATATTCATATATAAACAAGCCGCCTCACAGTGAATGTCGTGTTACAGATTAGCTGAACTTAATTTATAACTTCACTACTTTATAAAGGAACTAGCGGATCTGACAGACAACAACAATTTGTACTTACATACAAAAAAATGTCTAATAATGTTAATCATTCTTGACTCCATTTGAGCACACACAAAATTTCAATCAAAATCTGTCCAGCCATTTAGGGTTTTAAATACGAACACATGCACAGTATATTTATATATGTATATACAAGCTGTTTATTTTTTTTAAGTTTAATAATCCAGATACCGACTGCAGCGCCAGCTGCCGGGCTGAACAATTTTGGGAATCTAAACCACCCAGGGCGCCACATAAACACATACAAAAAAAAATCATTCAAATCGGTCCAGCCGTTTAAGAGGAGGTCCGTCACATACAAACGTACAGTAAAATTTTATATATAAAGATGAACACAAAAAGAAATAAGCATCTGAACGCACGCATAAATATTTGACCGCCAATATAGTATATTAATCCCTTTTCATAACTGACATTATGCTACATTATGCCGGATATTATGGATATATCCTGTCGATTCAAAACCTTTATACGTAAATTTTCCATAGTTATTCTGCGAAAAATCAAAAGCTAAAAAATCGGTACAGCCCTTTTCGTATTATAAGTGTTCGAACAAACTCTATCTTATATTTGCTAAATCCAAAGTATATTTGACAAAGCGAAATGTGCATAACTTATACAAATATTCATTAAATAATGCGCGCTGTCATTCATTGATAACGTTGATAATATTATCCGCGCCGAGCTAGATTGAGCGGGCCGCGCGCCGCTCCCTTCTTGTAAATATGGGAGCAGCTTGTCCCGCGCTCCATACCATAGCCCAAAGGATGAAGATGGCATCCAAACACCACTTCGACAAGGCTAAACACAATCCCAATCCGTTGGTGCGTAAAAGCATGAACTACAACACCCTAAAAAGTAGGCGCTAAAAAGGCCCGTAGTAGGCCCTCACACATCTTAACGCATCCGGGTAATCCTGATGGGATTTTGACGTTAGCTAACGACGAAATAATAGCCGCCAGCGTGGCAAAGCAAATTCAGATTAGGGTTAATAACCGCCTTCACCGAGGAAGACAAGCTCCAGTGAGCTTCCTTATTGCCCTTCAGGCGACTGACCACCCCACGACGGCCCAAGCCGAGGTCAGGATCTCGGCAGAGCAACGCTCGTCAAAACAGTCCGAGCTGAACTGTCAAGGCCTTTCAGGTCAACAGCAAGATTCCATTAAAAAAAATAAACAAAAACCCGCGCCTTTAGTCGTTTGCGCGCTACCGATGAGTTCACACACGTGCATCTGCGCATTGATGCGTGATCACTCAATTGCGGCCTCTACGCGCCGCCATTGAGTTCAACGTTACGAACGTTTTAAAGAACGAGTACACATTAGGCGTTTTGAAGCGCGCGCTTTGGTAACGCGCGTTATAAAAATTACGAGGTCTGATTGAAGTGTACACATGCAAACGCGCACTTCGAGCCAAGCGCGGCTTAGGCGCGCGTTTACAGATTTTTAAAGATCAATATTCAATCAACTCGCTAGCGTTTTGATATAAAGCAGCGTTGAAAACGTTTTACTATCTGTCTGACCGAAAGCGTGTTGATTAATAATGTAAAACAAGATGGCGGTCACGACAACAGCTGATTACTTTTAGAGTCTTTCATTTGGCAAACGTTGGTTTGTTGTAACAGTGATTTTTTGTTTCAAATTGTTTTGAACCACAATTTGAACGTTTTTTTTCATGTTTACAATTTTGGTGTGATCGTGAGAGCTTGGAAATTCCGTGTTTTGTTTTATTGTAAATGGCTAACCATTTTAAGATAGGTTAGTAATAATTGTAATTCTTTTAGTAAGCATATTATTCATTTTTTTTAGAAGATATTTTATAGTTCATTTTTGTATGCCTGGTCCCGCCCATACAATGTTTGTGGAATAGGTTCTAGCTTGTATCTAGTTTATACTTAGGTTGAGCAATAATACTTAACATGCCATTAACTAAACAAATGTACCAAATATCTGCAGCAGAGCAGGTTTAATTTTTTTTTAATTAAAGAAACATAAAACAAAAAAAAATATTTTTATTGGCCATTGATTTTCCTAAATAAATATTATTTAGGAAAATATATAAATATAACATATTATTTCCAATCAAATATCTTGGTCACCCTACCAAAGTTGAAATGCGTCTTGTTGTCTATGAACGTTTAGGAAACTCGTTCAGTCACTTGTCTAAAGGAACTTTAGCGACTTGATTGAATATCGAGATTCAATTAACTCTCAGATTTAACTACTTTACTGTGACATATACAGTATACACTATACAGTATACTCGCCCTAGTAACGCTCGTCGAGCGTGGTGCATGTATACTACCAACGCGCGTGAAACGCCCAATGTGTACTCGCTCTAATAATAAACTGCGTTTTATTTTTTGTTATACTTTACTGTTACAGGCGTTGTCTGTAACAGTAACAATAATGAACTCATGTCTTTTCTTATCAAACATTTTTCATACTATGATGAATAATTCATTTCTTAGGTCCTAGCACTTAACTTTAATTTAGTTACTAGAGCTGTCAATTTACTTTGTCTGTGACATATTTGACAGCGCCCAGACCAGATTGTAAGCTTAAAATTACAAGCATAGGAAACAATTTTAGCCTTTTATTTGTATTTGTCTTTATTCTGCTAATACATATAATTTGATGTCGAAACGGTACAACATTTTACCATTGTGATAATAAGTCAAAGTCTGTATGCCTACTAAGTAGCCAGGGTTTAGGCTTATTTAGAGGTCCACCTCCACGTTTGGGTCCACCTTCTTTTCCTTTTGGTGACTTTTTACAGGAGTGCCATATGAACCTAAAAATAATTAATAGTTATAATTCAATTCACCATTAAAAAATAGGTTAGATAGGTTTTATATACATTTTTATTTATATTGTACCCAATTAATAACTAAAAACTTAATGTAGAAGGGCCGTTAATATTAATCGTGTAAGCAATCTTACTAATTCTTACAAATAATTGTATTTAATTAATATATCATATTGGCATACAACGACATCTAGGAAACATTTTATCAAGTATAAAACTAGCCGAGCTATAACGTCTACGTGGTTTATCTTATTTTATACAGATGGCGCAAATAACTTAAGGATTACTTTCATTCAAGTAATGTTTTACAGTTCTAAATCTTCCATAAATTATCGTAAAATCTGGATTCGTTCATAAATTAATTATCTTTCACTAATTTATCTATCTTTCCCTAAAAATTTTTTGTGTTTAAAGCGTCAGCTATATAATGACAACGACAACCTTCCTTACCAATTAAGTTTGTTAATACTGACAATAGATGGTGCAAAATACCAAAAACAGTTTTTTATTGAATGGAATTATAATTTTTAATACTGGCAATGTAAAAAAACATTGCCAGAATTCTTTTAAGTAAATTTATAAGACAATAGTACCTTGGCGTTTTTATTCTTTGATTATGAACCGGACAGTTGAACTCCCAGTCTGGTAACTGAAGAATATAAATAATTTCCTCTTCTTCTTCGGATTCTTTTTTCTTTTCTGATTCAGACTTCGCGTAGGGCTAAACATATTAGAATTGTGAATATAAATATGTTTTTATAGGCCTATATAGTTATTGCGGGTATTTTAATATTTGTTTACTACTGCTGAATTATTTACTCAAAAACTTAAAATCTTATTAAACAAAGCATGTAAAACATAAATAAGAATGGAATTATACATTATGTTAGCGCAGCGTAATGCGACATATAAAGCAATTATACTTTATAGAATTTGCTTCGGTGAGGGCATTTGATGCGAAAAATTCCTATCTTATTATTAAAATTCCTTAATAATGCGTCATATAATTGATTAATATATACTACGTACATATATCTTCTTACTTAAATCTGTATTTGTTTAGTCTAAATAACACCAACGAAATATTAGTGCAAGACTAACATTTTCTTTTAACCACAACACCATCATGTGGTTTTCTAATAATTTAAATATTACAAACTGCAGTTCAGATTTTAAGAAATAAAAATGTAGTAAACAGAAGCACAAAATTGTTAACTAATAAATTTACTTACGAAGACACTCGGTGCTGAAATAGCTTCGCTCGGGTCGAGAGAACCGTCCAATATTTGTTGGTTAATTTTATACTTCCTTGCTAAGTTAAAGTGTTTTACATCCTCTTGGGTCATAGGAAATGTTATCAGAGGTCGGCTGCAAATGGTTAGTAGGCATTCTTTTAAACAGTAAGCGTTAAATGGCTAACTGAAATTTTATGATTAATGTAAGTAGCTGTATCTCGACTTCGCGAGAAACCTTCCCAAAATCGCTAGATACAAAGAACTCATAATTGGGTCTTACCCATACATATATAAAATATATTATGTCTGATTTTTTAAGTCGACGATAGGCACAGGTAATAAATTTATGCTCTATCGTCTATAAATTAAAAAAAAAACAAGCTATAGATGCAGAGGTTAGTTACACAATTTTTAATAAAAATATCTAAGATGTGTCAATCATTTTCCTTTACTGGTTCGTGAACTTTCCGAATGGAAACCCTTTTGTGCATAGCCGAGACTTAACACACGAACTCAGGGCTACCGACTGACCGACCGACCGATTTACTGAGATCCAGAAACAAAACTAAGCTTGAACATATGGTTCCCATAAAATTTATAAAATAAACAAAACCAGGTAATGTGACGATACACAACCAAACCAGTGTTTTTCTTTATATAACTACCGGAATGGATCCAAATAAAGAGCACGCTGCGGCAGCTTGAAATGTTTCTTGATGTAGTCTTCATCGAGTAATTGGAAGTCTGCAGAGGGTGTTCCAGACGACATAGGACGTGGTTTCTGTCCAGGCGTGGGCTCGCGAGCGTCATCACGTGGAACCAGACAGATTAAGGGTAAGGCATTGGCTGTGCTGCCGCCCGCAGCGTTAGTACACGCGCAGCAACTACGACAAAAAAATATATTGAAAACTATTGCTTTTCCATATATCTGTTACGTTCCGCTAGACTTTTATCCTGTTTAAATTTTAGTTTAAATATCTCTGTAATGACAATATGTAGGCACTCGTCAGGATAAGGAATGTGATAGAGGAAGTAGTTCCCTTGACCAATAACAATGAAACGAATCAAATCGCTTCATCTTCCCTTTTACCTTCTAAATTTACTCCTCCAATCAAGTGATAAAGATTAGTTTTGAAAAAATTGTCTTACCTCGCCATTTTTGTAGTATTTTCTACCTAAATATTTTAAAGACTGGGTATTATCATTTTTTAATTAATTTTTTTCGAAATTCTTACACATATTTACATTTTTTAATTTTTTAATGATTGCACGAAAATTTCGTCAGCTTAATGACATGACGCATAATTTTTCATGTCATGTCACAATTTTAATTATTTGTTTTTCTTAAAGAGGTTTCCAAGACGGTTTAAACCTAATGTTAAGGTCGTAAATTTATGAAAATTGTAACTTAATTGTAATAATTACTTTAAAACATTTTACATAGCGTGGTTATGTTATCTTACTAACCAACGGGTTGAACAGTGTATTTTTCTAGTAAATAAACTCAATATAAATATTGTATTTAATTAATCAATCAATAAAATCGGAAACTAGAAACTGTTTTATGCTTTTTTATTCAGACGTAATCAAACCGTAGATAGACGACGTAATCATAATATTAATAATAATCAGCAGCGCTACAACGTTTTTAGGTCTGGGCCTCAGTTTATTTTTTACTGTTTCATGATCTTTTGTCAATCTATCTGTGCCTGTCACACGCCGTCGACTTTTTGGGTCTAAGGCAAGCCGCTTTTCCTCACAATGTTTTCCTTTACTGTTCGTGCAAATGTTAAATGTGCACATAGAAAGAAAGTCCATTGGTGCACAGAACCTACCTACGATCTTAGATAGTTCACGCTGAAGCCACTAGGCCAACTGCTCAACAGGACTGGAAAGTCGTCAAGCATTTTTTTCTTAATTTATTTCATTGACTTTTTCAAATAACGCTACTGAATTTAGAATTAATAGCGAAGTAGATATATAAATATTCTACTAAGATACACTTAAATGTACAACTTCGGCCATTACAGTATTTGCACTATTTACTTACAAAGTTTTAGATGACCGGGAGTGACCAAATATGCAAATATGTCCCTCAAGTAAAATTGAATTCAGACTATCGCTTTAGGCTATGACTATATTGCTTAGAAATGCCAACCCTCGGAATTGTTATTTTCTCATGATATATACATACTTACATACACGATATAACTTCGGAGATCTGTAGGAGCTGATAAGAGTATCAATCAAGAAGATATATAAGTTTCAATCAGGTCAACTATATGGTTAAAGTATTAACTACTTAGTAGACTATAATGGAACACCGAGTTTACACTAATATATATATCATTATAAATGCACTATATATATTTTTTTAAATAAAATTACTATTTAGCTTAACTTAAGACTAATACGTAAATTTAAGTCTAACCTAATTTACTAATTAGGATATTTAACTAACCAACTAATAAATGGAAAACACTCTGTTCTTGTGTTCTGTTTCTTTTCTTACCACTGTTTAGCACTTAAGACTAACGTGCACTAGCACTAATTCACTAGTTCAAATGGTTTTGTCCTTTTCAGTCTTCTCACTAGAGTTGAATATCCTAGACATTCACGCGATGGTGGAATGTTCGTGGGCTCCAGCAAAACATAATGAATAAATAATTTCTCGTGCGGTGAAAGAAAATATTGTCAGGAACATTCTCATACAGTCATCACATCTCAGACACAAAAGCTGAACACCTTTCTTAGTGACAAATAAACACGATACAAAGAAAAGTTATAAATTATACACACGTAGCACTACTGATTTTATTTTTTTAAACTTATTTTTAAATTTTAACATCATTTTTGTTGTAATTTGTTGGTTACGAGTTAAGAGTTACTTAACCTTAGGATTTGACTCAGAATCCAGACTGAGCGCTAAATATGACTCCTGTTAAAAACGCATTAGATTTTAATATTCAAGTCATATTTGACGCTGAATCTCGACTGTTCCTTATCCTCAGCACCTGAATGTTAATAGAGTCAATGTATAAAATAGGTAAGTGTAATAATCAAATAATTATAGTCGTGAGGTAATAATATTAATAATTTATGCAGCAATGGATGATAGTCCTCACGTTCATAAGTGTAACTAACGAAAATCATCGTTTCGTTTAACGCAATAAAATGGCAAATATACCCTTAAGTATACCAGATTGACTTTCAAAAAACCATTGCTATTTCCGAAATACGGCACTCGTCAGAGACATAACCAACTTTTTGTTTTTCTTCACACCCTTTGTATTTGTTTTGATGTCTATCAAATTCGTTTAATGCTGTTTTGAAGAATACTTCTCCTGAACGATTATGATAATGCGCCTTCATTGCTTATAAAGTTCGTGAGCAACAGGCATTGGCGTTTAAAGATATATCAAACGATTGGGGCGATTTATTTTCATGACATTAGTATAGTCTAGTAATCAAAGAATTTTAATAGAAACACTAGCAAGGCTCACAGACATTTCAGCATATCAATATTATATAGAGAAAAGATTTGTATTTTTGTTGTGTAAAGAATAAGCTCAAAATTTACTAGGTTGCGACATTATCTCCGTAACATATGCTTTATTTATTTTGATTAAATATTTTTAAATTATTGAAGTCTTATTCGCGCACTTACTCTGTCTCTTGAAATAAGGACAGTGATACGGATCGTTACGTTTTTGTAAGGAATTTCGATGTAGTTCTCTCAATATCCTGCGCTGATTTCGCAACCTTGGGATAGCGCGGAACAAAAACTTATTGAGATCAGGTTCTCTGTTCGTATTTTTAGGGCTCAAGCCCTGTATTGAAGTAGTAAATAATGTGTAACATATCTTCTTTCTTATATATGAATATGTAATATCATAACCTATGTAGGTTACATAGGGGTTAATAAGATAATTGTAGCAAGGTTTACTATAAAAACATTGTATTGTGTTTTTCCTAATAAACGTTAATTCCATTCTATTTCTTACAAATGATTATTTGTACTTATTAAGTATAACAACAAATATTGGATATTGTTCAACCCATAGTCCTAAAATCGACGATGGCACAGAAGGCTGATCATTTGCTATATATCAATCCGGGCTACGCTGCGGGCTGCTAATTTAAAAATACATTTAGGTCAATTTGTAAGTCAGCGAAAGTATTGTCGAGGGAGTTGGTTACAAATGCATACGTTGACGGAATTAAGGTTGCCCAATACTAAATCTGTATAAATATTCGTTGACAAGGTAAACTAATTAAATTTTAACCCATCCTTAAGTTTAACACTCAATATAGTGTAGCTCCATTATAGTTCACGCTCGAAACTTTCCAGATTGTTTGATTATTTTTCTTCCTAATCTTGAGTGTGTAATTTTTTGTCGTGTTCATTAATTTTCAAAATGTAAGTGATAATAACTTGTGCCTATTCTTAGTAAAAGGGTTATTTACGGCTATGTCTGAGGTTTTTGAATGAAGTAAGTAGAGCTAGGTGGCAACTTAGGTCTACTATTATCATTGACTCTAAGACGTAATGTATTGTGCAATTATACGAACTATACAAAATAGGTAGAGCGCTCAGGTAGATCTGATTTTTTATAATTACATTCGAATTTCAAATAAATTGACGCATTTGACTATTCTACTAATAAAAAAAAGATAAAAGTCGAAAAATAATTTATTAAAAGAATGCACAAATGTTTTTTTTCTCTTATTTTTATGAGTTTTATGAGTTGTGTGCTTGTTGAAGATCATAATACTGCTTTATTATATATTAACAATTGAATATTCATACAATAAAACACCTTAGAAACACCACATCATAATATGTAGATTATGGAAGGTCCCTAATCAGTGCCAGAGAACTAAATGTAAAGTTGGAAGCATTTCATATACATACATTCCTTTTTTTTTGACGTTCATAAGTGTACATTATGTTACCTATATGATTAAATGTAAGTAAGTAAGCTATAAAAGGTCTATACCTTTTATAGCTTACTAATAGTTGTTACAAAAGTTTATAGAAACTTTTGTAACAACTTATTTAAAACAATAAATCACAATTGAATAATTCAATTAATTTAAAACAGTTCCATAAAAGAAAATATCTCACAAAAATAGAGCAAGCTAGTATTATTGTACTCGTACTTAAAACCAGCGCGAAAGGCAATGTAACTACAGACCATTGTCAATTCCTACTGCCAACTCTAAGGTTTTAGGAAAGCTATTGAGTATTAGATTACTAAACTACCTAAATAGAGGTAATATACTCTCAAGCTCTCAATATGGATTCAAGCAAGAAAATTACATAAATTGAACATCTTTTAGCTGTGCAGTAGGAAAGTTGTACATTGGAGGAAATGATTGATAACAACGCAATTGTCGTAACTGAGATTGATACAAGAGCTTTCGCAACAGTAACTGCATCAAAAACTAAATAATAACTGTTACTACGGTCATATTATATACGAAAGAGGTTACAACTTACAATGTATTTTTACTTTAATAAAATCCACGAAGGATGCCATTTCTGTAAATGGGGTATTAAAGACATTCAGTATCGTGAACATTTGGAAGGAAAGGCTACATTAGCCTCAAAGAAGCTTGATGGCCTAGCAAGGCGAGACGGTACTATACTCCGGGCCATCGCTTCCAATTGTATAAAGCGCAAATTCGGGTCATTTGAAGGGAATGAATGGGATTTGAAGTGACTAAAGTACTTGTTGACTTTAGTCACTTCAAATCGTCGACGACCAGTCACTTTCCGAGCGGCTTGATCTCTTGGCGTTACGTACAGATCTCTCTGCATCATCTACCGCATTTACCATGGAGAAGGTTCAGAGCAGGTGTTCAGATTAATACTTCCAGCTGAGTTTTACCATCGGACGTCGAGGCAGAATATGAAATGTCACCCATATCACCCCGACGCCCGTCGTTCCACAACTGAGCGTTTTTAATACGTTTTTTGCTGCGCACCACCGAAATTTGGAACCAGCTCTCCGTCAGTGTATTTCCATTTCCGAACCTATACGACTATAGGTCAAGAGTATAACAATTCTTAATAGGACGGCAACGCACTCACCCTATGATTTAAAAGAATCAGTGAAAGAGACCTCATCAATAATATCCGAACCGCATTTAC